GGAGTAACAGGGGGTTGCTGTGCCTCTTTACTGAATTCCTCACTTCTTGATATTGCTGAGATTCAATATTTTACAAAATTCTCCCAGTTTCCCTTCCAACTGTGTGTGTTTCTACATATGGGTATTTAGTTTTGGGGAGTCATCACTGTGTAAGTTCATATACCTACCTCAGGTCAGAGACATAATGATTCCATCACTGCAGGGCCCCTAGCATTGTCCTTTTATACCTGTCCATATCATGTCCAACCCACTTTCCTCCAAGTCCCAGGACAGAAAACCCCTAATCTATATTGCATTTTGTATAAGTACTGCACGATAACCGATTGTACCACTGGAGTACTGTATTGCATTTTGTTACTTCTAAATTGTTAAAGAGATGGAATAATGTAGTATGTAAGCACTAGGGATTGACTTATTTTAATTTAACACAAATCCCTAAAATTTCATTTGTAGTAATTCACTCATTTTATTACTGACTAATATTCCCTGGTAGCATATGGGTCACAACTTTCTGTTGGTGCTGTTCTTTGTTCCTTTTAAATGCTGTTGATCAGATTGAGTGACATCTAAATTACTCTTGTTTGGCTGTTGTGTTTTTTGTTTCTTTTTTCTTGCATTCCTGCAGATTATTTAACCTTTTGTAGAATTCTCTATTTTAAACACATTGATTTTAGGGTTCTAATCTTGGAAAAGAATCTACCATGTTTTTTTGGGTGTACCTCTTTGTACAGAGTCCTGTGTTGGTTATGTGAGTTACAACTCACATTCAGGCCAGGCTACACGAGTGTTGACATTGTACCACTCGGAGTCTTGTAGGAAGCTCATTTTTGCGTAAGCATCTTCCCCTCCAATAATTATTATCTGTTTTATGACTGCAAGAGTGTGCATAGAATTGGAACGCACTGCTATTTCACTTGGCTTAATGGGTACCACAGCTTAGCATTGCCCCACATACTGGCTGTTCATCCTCACAGTCACATGCTCACTAGTGGCTGTGGCTCCCTGCCACTCTGCCTCACAAGAGGCAGTTCGACTACATATTGGCATCCTGGGGAAAGGTTGAAGTTTAGTTTCAAGAACAGTTGCTATGGAACAGATAGACTTTTTTCATTACTGTTAAATTAAAAAATCATGTCCCTCCATCATGAGTACAGATCCGTGTCTATGAACCAGTGTCTATGAACCCAGAGAAGAATGACTGCTTCTCCTCTAGACATCACCAACTTCCAATGCTCCCTAAGCCAGGGTCATGGTGTTATGAACCTGTCACTCATCCTTGTTAGAGTTTTGGCTGATTTGACCTTGCGCAGATCTTATGCAGATATCTTCGCTAAGCTGTCTGCTGCTACTCTGAGTTCTTGTGTGCAGCAGCCCAGTAATGTCCAGTAGACAGCACTTCACAGCTCTCATCTCCATCCTCCAGCTCTCCCATGCTTTCCACTTCCTCTCCCATGATGTTTCCCGTGCCTCTCTGGCGGGCAGGGTGTTGATGTGGTTCCATTTAGGGGTGAGCACTCACAGACACTTACTCTCAGCACTTTTACAAGATGTGACTCTACAGTAATTGCTGTAAGTAGCTTTGCTGACCAAGGCTGTGTACCACAAATTCTCTGTGTATAAACACAAGCATTTAGAAGTCAATTTCATAGCATGGACATTTAGCAAAATAACAACAGCAGGTTCTCCAGTAGTGCCTATCACCTTCATGTTCATTGTCTTTGGACTAGATTTACTGTACTAAACCTGAACTCCCTCCTGTGGACTGAGCCTCAAATCTGATCAGAAAGCATTTGGTTAACCCCACAATAGTGCTAGTATTATAGCAGTGGGCACATTTTGCTCAGCAGGTTGGGATCACAACGTGCACCATCCAGTAATGGGTATGTTGGTGTATTTGATTCCCCAGAAGCCTGTCCAGCAACTTCCAACACAGAAACCTAACAGCAGGAATAATGCTTCCTGTTAGAGACTGATTTCTCTATGTCCTGCAAACAAACTCACGTTTGAACGAGGGTCTTATTGCACCATTTGGCTAGTTAGGCTGACCAACTTACCCCCACGCATCCTTATGTCTCTGCCCACAAGTGCTGGGATTTCAGGTGTGTGTCCCCGCACCCAGCTGTTGACATGGGTTCTGGGGAATCAAAACTTAGGTCCTTATGCTTGTGAGGCAAGGATTTTTCCAACTGAGCATCTTTTTTTTTCCAACTTTTTTATTTGAATTAGAAACAGGAATGTTTTACATGACAATCCCAATTCCCTTTTCCCACCCGTCCTCCCCTACTCCCCACCCCTACAGGAGGTCCCATAGATTTCTGAGGTTTCCTCATAGAAACCCATGTTCCTGGGGTCTGGATCAGTCCCATGCTGGTAATCCAGCTATTAGACTGGGGAGCAAGAGCTCCCTGTTGTTCAGGTCAGCTGTTTCTGTATGTTTCACCAGCCTGGTCTGGACCTCTGTGCTCTTCACTGGTCCTTCTCTGCATCTGGGTTCCAGTTCAGATCGGTGATTAGTTATGGGTGTCTGCTTCTACTTCCACCAGCTGCTGGATGAAGGTATATAGGTCAGTCATCAATCTCATAATCAGGGGAGGGTGTTTAAGGTAGCCTCTCCCCAACTAAGCATCTTTCTGTGTCTCTGTTTTATTATTATTGTGTGTATAATTTTAACTCATAATATTGAAAGATCATGCTCTTGGTGATAGGGAACCTCATCAGATTGGTCACTGGTTTTATACCCTTCCCACCAATACAGCTAACATGTGGTTTGTGGATGAGGATTTTCTATAGCTTCTTGGTAACTTTTCATTTTGTTTCTAATATATATCTTATCAGAGCATAAAAACAAACACCTACACCAGTATGTATGTTGATAGTGTTGCTCATGTTATTGTATAGGAATTAATTCTGAATTTTAAGATTATTTTATCTTTACCAATAAATCATTAGTTTCAGTTGTTGATTTGACACAACCCAGAGTCACCCAGGAAAAGGGAACCTCAACTGAGGAATTTCTTAGATCAGACTGGCCTGTGGCCTTGCCTGTGGAGCATTATCTTAATTGCTGATTGATATAAGAGGACCCAGCCCTGTGGATGGTGCCATTCTTACACAGGTGGGCCTGAACTCTTATAAGAAAGGTAACTGAGCAAGTAATTCAGGAAGTGTTCTTCTGTGGTCTCTACTTCAGGTCCTGCCAGGCTCCCTCAAAGATGGACTGTTACCTATAAGCCAAATAAATCTTTTCCTCTCCAGGTAGCTTTTGGTCTGGTGTTAACCACAGCAACAGAAAGCAAACTGGGATTCAGTATTTACTGCTGCATTAAATGACTTAGAGGAATCCCAATAATTCAGCAAATATTAAATGACTGAGAATTGGGCTTCCCAGAGATTACACATTGTATTATTTATGCAGAGGAACCTCTCATTCTTGTTTCTGTAAATCATTTATGTTTTACATTTGTCTTGACTAGTCTTTTTACTCTTTTTTCCTTAGATATGCTGTTTTAAGTTCTTTACTTACATATTTTAAAATTATTTATTTGTTGAAATTTTAATATATCATTTCCCCCTTTTGTTTCCTCCCTCCAACCCCTCTCATCTATTGAAATACTCCACCTTGATTTCTCTCAAATTAGAAAAGGTTTTAGTACACTGTAAAGGCTAGTGAGCTGGAGAGAAGCAAGAATATCACCCGATTTTCTTATTACTTTACTATTGTGTTAAATGCATAACTTTTACTTTTCAGTTTAATAACAAATGTATTTGGATGTGAACTTTGGCTATATCCAATACATTTTGATAGCTAATAGTATTCCAATTTTCTATGAAGAAATTTATGCAACACATTCTTAAAACTTAAGAAATATGGTGAATGATAATGTTTTAAATTTCAGAAACATTTGCATGAATTTTGATAAAAATTAGTAGTACATAGCTAAGTAATTTGTTCTTTGAAATGGATTTGAAGTAAATTCTTGGGCTTTTGAAAGGTCAGGAGGTGCATATGTGAGATAAGATATCTTGATTTATTAAATCTGATATTACTATCTATATCTATGTATATTTACATACTCATATGAATTTATATGTGTCTTCAGGTATTCCATATATCAGAATTAAGAGTTTTTATAATTCACTAAATTATTTGCATTTATAATGTGTTCACCCTCTTCAATGCCTGTGTGATTTTTTTAACAGTATGCTGAGCATTTGGTATGCATTCTGTCTACTGCTAAAGCAGCAATATATTAATTAACATAGTGCTTACAACACTCTCTGCCTGTGCTTTTCCTGAATACTGAAATTAAGTGTTTGAGGCTTCCTCTGTTAGCTGTAGTGAATGTTCTGTATTTCCCATGCTGCCAAAAGAGGTTCCCAGTGACCCTTAAGAGAAATGACAAGGTTCTCAAGCTCTCCTTCCTTGTTGCTTTTTTGATATTGTGGAAGACCATTTTCAGTATTAGAAATAATTGTTGCAACTATCATCGTTTTGGATACAACTTTACATTTATTTAAGTTATTTCTCTAGACAGATTTTTTTATCCTGAGAGGAAAAGTTATGAACATTTTTATGTGTTTGTGACTGTGCATAATTTTATAACATCAAATTATTTTTGAAAAATTGTGTATGAATTTACTCTGCCAACAGCAATAAAAGAATAACATTTAATCTCTACTAGTCTTGGAAAACAAACCTATAGCTATTAGTTGAGCACATATTTCAGAGAAGGTGGAGATATGTGCAAATGTATTTTGCTTAGTCAGTAAGTATGAAGACTGCTCTGTATACCAGTGAAACTAATCCTGGGATTACAGTAGTGAGTAAGGAGACAGGACTGAGAACCAGGGCTCCTTAGAGGGCATTGAACACTTTCCTACAAAGCTCTGATCCTGTGATGATTACAGGATGTTTGCTACCTTGTTCTAGCTGATAGAGGACTGAAGAACTATCTTGATACAACAATTAAAGACATATCTTCATGTGCTCCACATTGCAGGCTAATTACACTTTTTACTTTGTGGATAAGATAAAAACCTTATCAGAAACACTTCTGAAGATGTCCAGCCTTTTCCAGGGAAGTGGAAATGGCCAAATGTTCAACCAGTTGCAGGTATGTAGTGACCAAAGGCTGTGAACCACCTGCTGTAATTTGGCTGAGATATTGGGGTGCCCTTATAAAAATCCAACTAGTTTGAAGCATGCATGGGTTCCCCAGTTGACTGTCAACAGATTGCATGCATTTAAAAATCTTTATGAATTTTTAGTGTTTCCCCATGCAAATTAGCACTATATAAAGTCAATAATTTACTAAATACTGATATTTGAAATTTTTATTAACTTTAATGCCTTTAAAATAGTTTACATTCTTTTCATTTAGAAGTTTATTATTCTATCACTTCTTACTACTGTATGGGTCACCCAAAACAGAAATAAAAAGTAAAATCATAACATTAGATAAAAACAGAAGCAACTAGCTAGGAAAGAGGAGCTCAACAGGAGTGGAAGGGGAATGAGAGAGGGTAATAGGGCATGAATATAATAAAATTTATTATGTATGTATGTATGTGGAGATGTCATGATGAAACCCAGTATTATTTATAATTAATATATGCAAATAAAAATAAAAAGACTTGAATATTGACCAATTATGGCTTAAACTAGAGTCATTTCTTCAGAGTCCAAGAACCATTACTTGTAAAATGATAGATCAGGCAGATTACCTAGTAACTTTTGGGCATTTGTGAAATCATAACTTGAAAATCTGGCAAGATGAGAGAATTTGCCCACATTTTATTCATGGTTGGTACATATCACCCACTGGATAAACAGTTCACATCGTGGGCTTAGGATTCACAATGGGTAGGTATGATCCTACTCCCCAGTCATGTGATTGTGACCTAGTCACTAACAGGCCTATCCCTTGGGCATCTTCCTTGTGAACAAGGAAATGATAGTGTCTTTGAGTGTAAGTGAGCTTAACTGGGGGGTTGGCCAGGAATGAAAAGCTTCTGTGTAGTTCAATTTCTCCAAGTGCAGAGAGTGTCTATCCCTTGGGCATGTGGCTGTTGGTAGGTTACTCATGCTCCAGTGGGTAGCCACATACCATGGCCACATGGGATTACTAACTGGACGCAGGGAATTAACTCTAACAAAACAATGTAGAAGAATACGAAATTGGGAGAGAGATAGGTTAGGGGATAGTAGAGGAGTTGGATGAGGTGGTGGTGGATGGAAATGATTAGTAGACATTGTATACATGTATGAAACTTTCACAGCATAAAGAACTGTTAGTTTGAAAGGAAAGAAACTTCACCACAAGAAACAGCTGCTAAAGCAAAAGAAGAGGAATAGAGACAAGGAATAGAGGAGAGTGCATGTGAGGACAGTGCACATCAGGCATAAAGGAAGGAGGCTTGTGAGGAGGCAAGGCTCCAGACTCCAGGCAGCCCTGCAGCTTCACCAACACCGCACCTAGTGCTGTAATACTATCCTATTTTAATTTGTTTGTCCATGGCTCCCTTTGTTAACAAAGCTCCTATCAAGTGTTTTTGCAATGGACCAGATAAAAGGTTAGTTTTTATAAGGCCTCTGTTGTAGCCACAAATACCAGCATCCTGTCTTATTATCCCCAATGCCACAATGGACAGGGTGCCACTAGAACATGAAGAGGAGCCCGATGCCCCAAGAACTCTGCAATTAGTTGAGTACTGTTCACCAAGAAGAAATGTCAGAAATTGAAGTCATGTACTCAGCCTTACTTGGCATTTTACCTTACTCAGGCTGGGTAGTCATAGGTTCCTATTCTAAGATTTGGGATGTTGCTGGTGGAAAGCTGTTTGTAGAGAAGTCCAAGCCTGATTCTGCCACTAGGTGGAGTCCTTACTGCTTTTGGGTGATGCCCCATCTGTTCTATAGTTTATTTTCCTTCCAGTAAAAGGCAGTGGTAATTTCCCCCAGGGAATTCTGTGAGATTAAATGAACTAATGTGTAATAAAATACCCTGCACACTGTCTGGCAAATAGCTAATACCCAGTGAAGGAAGACAGACAAGATTTAAGAAAGAGCAAGCGACCAGACTTCATAATGCAGTCTTGTCTCCATAGACCTGACTAGGTTGCTAGATGAAAGCACTAAGGACAAGGCAGGGTTGAGTAGGGAAGGGGTTAAGTGCAGAAGATACAAATCACACTAGAAGGCCTAACTTGTTGTGGTTTGAGACTAAAGCATAGATAACTATCACTATCTGCCAATGAACTATAAAGTCCCCCCCCCTTTTTTTTTTTTTTTACTTTTTAAGGTATGTATGTGCGTGCATATATTCACTGCACCATGTGGGTTCATAGAATTGAACTCATGTCATCAAGTGTGGCATCAAGAACCTTTAACTCCTGAGCCATCTCCCCATTCCAGAACTAGCAAATTTTTAATAACTCCCATGTCTTAATTCTGGCATGAAGACTCATTGCATCTGTAGTTTTCCTGCTGGTTGTTGGGCACGGCAATGTGTCTTGAGTATACATATTCCCATTTGCAAAAATGAAAATGCAGAATTTTATTAAGTTAGATTGATTTTTAAGAGCTTGCCACAGCAAAACCATTGACAGATGAGGCAGTGCTTAAACAATGAGGGAAGAACAAGGCACAAGCTGCTTTTGAAGGCATAGCTTTGCATATCAGCTGGAGAGAGGGGCTGGGAAAGGCGGAGGTCCTTCTGTGTACCACTACCTCTCTGCAGACAACTGGCCTGCACAAATGTGATGGAGAGGAGGAATCATGGGGAAGAAAGGATAACCCAGTGGCTTCATTAGAAAAAATTGCCCAATAATTTTTAGTATTGAAGCAGCATTGCAATTATAATTTTTATTATCATTATCTTTGTTTTTTCAAAGTTCAAGATTATATCAAATGGTGACTTGTTACTTATTAACATGTCTTGCCTTAGGGTTCTTATTGTTGTTATAAAATATCATGAACAAGAGCAACTTGGGGAAGAAAGGGTTATTCACTTAAACTTTCAAATTATGGTTCATCATGGAAGGAAGTCAAGGCAGGAACTTAAGGCAGGAACCTGGAAACAGGAACTGAAGCACAAGTTATGGAGGAACTCTGCTTACTGGCTTGCTCCTCATGGTTTTACTCAGCCTGCTTTTTTCTACAATTGAGGACCACCAGCCCCAGGGTGGCACTACAGACTGTGAGCTGGGACCCTCTCACAACAGTCATTAGTCAAGAAAATGCCACAGAGACTTGCCCACAGACCAATCTGATGTGGACATTTTCTCAACTGAGGCTCCCTCTTTTCAAATTAGTCTAGCTTGTGTCAAGTTGACAAAAAAAATAACCAGAACATGTCTTAAAACTTCTTTTAGGTGGATCCATTTTATGTTTCTTTTTCTTGTGTCATAAAAGTTTGAATAAGTTTAATAAGTGAGAAAGTGTGATGCAATCATTTCTGTTAAATTTCCTTACTTTCCTTTAGGATGCCCTGAGAAACAAATTCATAAGAAATTTTGTAGAGAGCCAGTTGAATATTGACATGGACAAACTTACTGAAGATCTTCACACATATGGTAATGGTGCTGATCGTTTGGATGGGATACATCTGTCCATGGCTGAAGTGCTTGGATTCTACCCCATTGGTCATATTGTTGCTGGCAACGTTACCAAATTTACCTGTACTCTCCCCTTTTCTGTTTCACTATCTGTAACATGAGGGCTCAAAGCAGATATACCACAAAATTTGTTCACACCTGAAGTTCTCTGGTTACAGCAGGAGGGCTAGAGAAAGGAAAGCATTTCATTAGGCATAACACTTAGATTTATTGAAAAATAACTGGTGAAGGTGCTATTTGCAAAAGTGGTAAGGATAGGCTGAATATCTCTTACTTTTGGGACACAAGAATTTCTGATTTGGGAAGCTTTGTACATCGTTAAAGGGGGTAGTTTATGGATGGAACCCAAATCTATTTGTAAAATTCTAGTAGCTACTACATACCAGCCTGAAGATACATTTCTTTATTAACTAAAATTATTTTTTTTATTTTACATCCCGAACAAGTTTCCCTTCCCCCCTCCTATTCTCTCTCCCCACCTCCCCTCTGCCCCCTACCTTCCAATTCACTCCTCCTCTGTTTCTGTTCAGAAATGGGAAGGTCTCCCATGGGTATTAACAAAGGATGACAAAGCAAGTTGAGGTAGGACTAAGCTCCTCCCCTTGTATTAAGGCTGGTTTAGGTAACCCAGTGTGAGGAATAGGTTCCCAAAAGTCAGCCAAAGCATTAGGGACAGCCCCTGTTCCCACTTCTAAGAGTTCCTCAAGTAGACTAAACTACATACACAACTGTCACACATGTAGGGCATATAGGATGCCTAGGTCACTCCCATGCTTTTATTTAGTAAATTTGTATGAAAAACAAATTTCATGATGTAAGATTTTCCACTTGTGTTTTCATTGGACCAGTCTGCTTTACTTTGTGATGTTTTTCATGCTGCTTTTCTCTAGCTAGGTTTCATCTCTCATGAATTTATTTCAGTTGTTATACTTTCTGTTTATATATTTTTGCTTAGTTTCTACCTTTTTTATTGAAAGTCTATTTTCAACATAATTGTGCCCAATTATGTTTTAACTCCCTGCTCTTAACTATACAGTTTGTCATTTGTTGATCTTATTTTTTCTCTTTAATTTTGGTTATTCTGTCTTATCTCTATGAATATTAAGTATCTTTCATTAGTTGTGAGTGTCTGCTTCTGTTTCCATCAGCTACTGGATGAAGGCTCTAGGATGGTATATAAGGTAGTCATCAATCTAGTTATAGGGGAAGGGAATTTAAAGTAGCCTCTCCATTATTGCTTAGATTGTTAGTTGGTGTCTTCCTTGTAGATCTCTGGAATTTCCTTAGTGCCAGATTTCTCTTTAAACCTATAGTGGCTCCTTCTATTACGGGATCTCTTATCTTGCTCTGCTCTATTCTTTCCCTGACTCAACCTTCCTGCTCCATCATGCCCTCCTCTCTCCTCCTCTTGTCCCCTTCTCTTTCTGCTAGCTCCCTCTCTCCTCCCCCATGCTCCCAATTTGCTCAGGAGATATTGTCCTTAAGGGAAGTTTATTGTCATCATTCTTGCAATACTTTTACTTTCATTTAAAAAAATGTCATTTTATCTTTAGAGTTAAAAAATTATCAAAATTTGCTTGTTGTGACAATATGCTTGATGTAAACAGCCTACCAGAGGAACACTTTTTGTTTGTTTGTTTTGGCTTGGAGTTTCAGAGGTATCAGCTCATCACGCTGGGAGGGGTGTGGCACAATGCCTTAAATCATGACAGTAGGAAGTAGAAGAGAGGTCATGCAGGAAAAAATCAGAACAAAGGACACACCCTGGTGACCTACTTCTGCAAAGACCCCTCCTCCTACTTTTCACCTTTGCCCAATAGAGCCAACATATTATGAATCCATCAAAAATTCACCTATTGATTAGGTAAAGGCCTTCATGAAAATCAACAATTTACTTGATTTTCCCCATTTGATCCATCAGCATTACAAAGAATATATATGATATACATATATATGCATATATAAACACATACATACAAATTGAGTTTACTATAGGCAAATACTTAATTTTGTGTATGAACTGAACTCTTTTGAGCTATAGTTTTTAATGACACACCTTCATTTTTATGTGCACTTGTGGGAGACCCACTGTATAAATAGCACTGGAGCACTGGAGAGAGAAGTTGATTTGTCCTAATTTGTTTTCTGTTGCCAGGACAGACACTGGACAAGATGTTTAATCATGTGGGGGCTGGACGCTTCCAGTTCTTGGGTGGTATCTTGGCTAATCTCTCTTCCTGTGTGGTGTTGGACCGATTCCAGGCAGTGGAGGCTGTTGACACCCTGGAGACGAAGGCACATGAACTAATGCAGCAGAATAGTTTCTTGGCCAGTAAGTATTTGGCAGAAAATGTGCTCACCAAGGCACCAGCTCCAATAGGTGGTTATTTTGTCTCATCTCCTAAGAGCATCTTA